AAAATTGGAAAGAGATGTTAATCTATTGGAATATAGTGAAAACAGGATCCGTTTAGCATTTTCATATCCGAAGATATGGAAGCTTCAATTTGTTTACTACATTGTTTACTACACTATAAATTAGTAAACAAATGCTGTCGTAAATAACTCATTAATCGTAATCCCAATTTTAATCCAATTTCAAGTCAGGGTGATTCATCAGTTTTTCATTGATATTATGAAGTTTGAACTGTAAAATTGGGGCTCATTACAACCAATTGAGGAAAAACGTAAATAGCCGCGTTTCCATGACAACCCTATTTGTAAACAAAATTCCACACATAGATTTATGTGTACAACATACACTGTGCATACAATTTTGTTGATTCAAAAAAGAACGGCTGAAAATAAATGAGCAACAGAGATGTTTTCTGTGACTCAATTTGTTTATCATTTTGTTTACTGCTGTAAACACACAAAATGTGGCACTACTTTAACCATGATCTCCATTAAGAAAAAGAACGAAAAATTCCCATTTTCAGAAAATTCAAATCGCCATATCTCAGCAACGCCTCGACCAAATACAGACATATTGGTATCAATGTGNCTTACATGGGCGCTGCCATCTTGGAATTATGAGGAATTGTGGGGTTTATTGGTTATTTGATTTTTACAGAGAGGGGTGGCCATCAAAACTGTTCTTAGAGTTTTATATTTAAGATTTTAAATTCAATGTAAATTACCATTAATACTTAGAACATGTTATCTTAGTAGGAAAAACGTTTTTTTAAGGAAAATTTGAGGGACTGCTTTCTCCATTTTGTTTCAAATATGTTATCAGTTTGTGAGCTTACACCCCTACGCACTAACTGGAGCAACTTTAAGCGTATTCAATTCAACACGACATCGTTGCAACGTGCACAAGCTCCCCACGCCGTACATTCGCACACTTGTGTAGGGCCAGGCCTCTCATTATTTTGCGGATATCGAAGAGGTGCAGCCGTGGTTTCACCGAACAAAACAGTTTTGGAACTTAAGTTAAGAAGCTCTCTTCGTATGTTTACTTTTATGGGGACCCTGACTGAGAAGTTTTGGTTTGGACGCTGAATATCTTTTCCTACTTGTTCCTACCTCCATGATCTAAACCGTAACGTCCACCACATTCGCAATTCAGTGATGAAGCCAGTTTGTCTTTACAAAATGTGAAAGAACTGTCACAGTTGTACGTGCTGAAATTGTAGAATTTTTGCATTCTCAGCTGCAGCCTGTCGAAATTATAATTTATATTAAATAACTCAAGATGAAGGTGAAGGTGTTGAGTCGCAATCCCAACAATTACATCCGTGAGACAAAGAATGATATTCACAGAGGTAAACAAGATAAATTTGTCTGGAATAGACACGTAGCTTAGGCCTACATGGACATCACTTGATGCCTGCCTGTGCACAAAACCTATGGGATTTGCCTGAAAATTCCTAGTGTTTTCTAAGTAAATGCTTCAATGTTTTCCTTGCTAAATTTGACCTTTTAGGACATGTTATTACATTCTGGTGGCCAGTAAACCACTCAGTGAAAGGGAAAATTAGTGATTTCCGCATGGAACTCTTACCCTTTCTCGTAATTATCTTCTTTCTTTTTTATTTTATTTTCCCATAAGTAACATTTAAGGCAGTAGGACTGGCATATTGGACCGTCGACCATGAATGGTTCCAGATACATGTACATGTAGCTTTCATGCTCGTACATGCTTTGCTTTCACACTTGTTATACATGTACTAACACAACTGACGTAACTGAATTTGTAGGCCAGCATGTTGTTTTGGGGACATTTACTTCGACAAATCTTCGTTTGGTTCCATGGTTACAAATCTTCATTAGGAAAATGCTCAGTTGTGTCAGTCACTCTGTTGTGTGAATTTTGTAATTATCATTTCGGACAGAGTTCCATACACGGACATCACTTGACATCCTGTGCACAAACCCTGTGAGACTAGTCTAAACAATTATATTTTCTATGTAGACACTTCAATATTTTCCCTGCTAAGTTTGACATTTTTAAGGGTAGCAGTATGTTATCACTTCCTGGTGGCTGATATATCACCTCAGGGAAAAATGAGTAATGTCCATGAAACTCTTACCATCAATTCAATGCTGACTGTATGAAAAAAATCAAATGTTGGAAAACCTCAGGAAAAATGTACACTTCATGTATTTAACAAACAGAACAAAATAACCCCATTAATTTGTGATACTTATGATGTATCCTTGGCCCAAAAACCATGTAAACAACTGGTGAAGCCACTGTCTATGGGAGAACAGAATTTCAAGTGATTAGAGACCTTGAAGGAGAAAAAGTGGCCTCAAGATGCAACTTTTCCCCCCCCCCCGTTATTCCACAGTTTTTCACCTTGTATTCTAGTTCCCAGAAACTATGATCCATCCTTGCATCCCTTTGAGGCACCCAGGGAGTACGTACGGGCACTGAATGCCACCAAGTTGGAGCGAGTCTTTGCCAAGCCCTTCTTGGGTGCCCTGGAGGGGCATACAGATGGTGTGCACTGCATGTTCAAGCACCCAGGCAGCCTCTCAACGCTCCTATCTGGGGGATGCGATGGACAGGTCAGAAATATTTCTCTCTCGGAAACACATTAAGGCCTGCATATATTTAGGATGTCAGTGGTAAAAATGATGGTCACTGCTGGTTTTTGACACTGTCTGGTACATTCTTGGCATATAATAACGAAAAGCATATGGTTTGTATGCATCACTCTGAAAGGCAGTAAGCGAAGTTGCACTCGTGGTACGTCCTTCAATTGAATGTAGTTGGTCACAAACTTCAACTTTCCATTTGGGATTGACTCCAGGTCAAAATTTGGAACCTGCCGACCAGGAAATGTGAAAGAACAATCACTGCACACAGTGGTTTTGTGAGAGGAGTCTGCACCGACAGGAAGGCTGCAAGTATCTTCACAGTAAGTATGCAGTTGTCACTTTGTTCTTAAAGGCATAAAACCAGCAGAAGCCTCTTTTATATTAAACCAGTCAATCAATAATTGAAGGAAGTTTTTCATTTCAATTTGAGGTGGTTTTGTATTTGTGCAGAAGTCTTCAGGTTTTTATTTTCTCTGTTTTTTTTGTTTGTTTTAATTTTATTTTGTTCTAAGTTTGCGTTTCGGTATTTGTATGTTTTACTTTTTAAAACAATTACATTTGAAATTTATTTTCATTGTTTGCTTGTTTAATTTGTTGATATGTTTATGTCAGGCCCTTATAGGAGACCACCTATTGGTGAACAGGTTACCCTAGAAATAATTACTTGATAAAAGTAAGAAATAATTAATATAGAATTATTAAGATTATGGGAATGTCACCTTGTGAAATGTTCTTGTTTTGTGCAGGTAGGAGATGACCAGACAATCAAACAATGGAGTATGGTGCCACCTGAGTATGGCAAACAAGAAACACCTGTTAATACCATAATTGGAAAGGTATGTTAGTTTTTTTTCTTCAAGTTTTTCTTAAACTTGATTGAGTTCAACTAGTAAAAATATTTCTCTGCCATCCACAAGACCGAATCTATCTTTTTTGGCCACTTTTTTTTGGGGGGGGGTACCGACCTATAAGTAAGCCAGCTAATCTAACAGTTTCTCTTGAAACTGTTCCCATTCTTTGCTTTTTTCTTACTCCTTGGCCTTAGACAGTATTTCAGTCCATCGACCACCACTGGCACGATGCAAAGTTTGCTACCAGCGGTCAGCAGGTGGACATCTGGGATGAGCAGCGGACAGAGCCCCTGCGGTCATTCACCTGGGGGACGGACAGTATACACAGCGTGAAATTTAATCCCGTTGAGGTGAGGCAAGCTACGGCATGGGCATAACACTTGATCGAAAAAAAAAAAATTCTGACCCAAATCTTTCCAAGATCCTTCCAAATCCATCAGGAGGATTTGGTTGAAGAAGGTAGACAGTAGTCACTGTCAGGTTATCTTAACCACTCGGTGCCTGGGTTCCCGGTACCGGGTACCTTGGGTTTGTATGCATAGCCGGCCTGCCCGAAATCAGACAGAGGAGCTGGGCCTTGTAACAAAAGACCGTACTCATAAAAAAAGACCAAGCTGCTGGAAAGTGCCAACACTTTTCAGCACAGAGTGCTAGCATTAGCGGAGGTAATCCGTCATTGTTTTTGAAATAGTTTACCACTGAGTGCGACATTTAGTGCCTGCGGATTATTAGTGGGGACAAAAGTGTTCCAGCTCTCCAGCGATGAGCAATACAGTACCGCTGCATGCTAATCTGGCCGCATTTCAAAAGACACCACTGCCATTCAGCAGCACACTGGACCAATTTCGGGAACAAAGGAAATTACACAACACCGCACAATGTGGGCTGTCTTTACTTGGAGCAGGCCTGGCTGTAATACAGTGGAACGCTGCTATGACGAACACGATGGGGTCCACGCTACATGTTTGGTACAGCGGTCGTTCGGTATAGTGAAATTAACTGCCAAATGTTTTGTTGCTATGTTGAATAGCGCCCTCTCTTGTCTAAGTGAAGTGCACCCTTTGGTGATACTATGGTTCGCTGTTTTTGTGATGTTTTGCTGTTGCATTCACGTTTAAGGTTTCTAAAAATGTATTAACTATTTTTGTTTTTTATTAAATCTTGAGTTACAAAACTGATTTTAAGTTTGTCAAAAAGTCATGAAGCTACCGCTCAGGATTGATTTCTGATGCATGCTGTGGTGAATCTCGGTTGATTTGAGTATCAGCGGGTGCCTCTTTAGACTATTGTTAATGCAGTGCCACGGTGTGCATGTGGTTTTCTTCTGTACCGGATCATGCAGAGTCGAAAAACCAGTGTCCATTCAATACCGTTGATAACAAGTAGCTTTCCCTTCTAATCCTTAGGGAAATAATGGCCACTTGTCACTTTGCAATATAAAAAGCACCTACTGTTTTATCAAGTTGACATTTGGGAATTACAAATGGCAGGTGCGTAGTGTTTGGTAGGTTTTGTACACAAAATATTGGGAGTCAAGGACGATGTTTGGTAAAGCCAAATGTTCGGTATAGCGGTGTTCGGTATAACGACATCCCACTGTACTGGGGCGTCAGTGGAGGTTGCATGTCAGATTAGAGAAGCACCAGACAGTCATTTGTGTGGGTGTAAGCGTCCAGTAAATGAAGTTATGAATTTTTGAAGAATTTTGAAAATGGAAAATCTTGAAAATTGCCCGCAAACTTGCCCCACATATGCAAATTCCACCCGGCAGGAAGTGGTTGAAGGTAGTGTATAGGATTTGCATGTACTGCAATTGGCCGATTTTGGCATTTGTGATTTACTTTGTGTATTATTCCATGGCCTTGTTTCATTTTCTGAGTTCACTGCTTTAAGAAAAATCAAGAAAAAGCTGTTCATTGTTAGCTTGTGTAATTTGTCTCTCAAAAATCCATGGGCCACAGGATTTTCCAAAGTGCCTGGACAGTGCCCAGGTAAGGTCGATCTGCAGATGAATTATGGCCCTCAAAAATGCATTTTGTCCATTATTTCACATAGTAATAGTGGTTGGCAAATTTACCTTCAAGTTTTTGTTTCCTCTTCAACAATGCAATGTTGAGAAGTTGTCGAATAAACACCATTTTCATCGTGCAGTGAATTGACTGCAGTCATGACCGACACTGTGCACCCACAACACACGCGTAAATGTACACATGCACGATCAACCACGCATCGTTTGCTCTTCACACGTAGGCCTAAGTCTGTCAAAAAGTATCCACAGACCATTAGTACCCATCCAAAACACTTTATAAACCAATAAATGAATTTTGGGCATAAGAGTTAATACTGTGATTGAAAATAGAAAGCTAAATGTCTCAAAATTGGAGATTTGTTCAAGAAACATAGGCTTTGCATAATTGATTTGGAATATACCATTGTTTTAAGGGGTGATACCAAGACCGTATATTCACTTGAGGTAAACTTCCAACATTTCATAAGGACACTTTAATTTCAAACCAGTCCAAACTATCTGTTAGGCTTTTGGTAACGATTATTTATCTATTTTATTAACCCTAACCCCCTAGGGTGTGTGTAAAATCATATTGAAATCAGAGGATTTGGGAGTGTTGGGGTTAAAATGAGTTTAGGCTTACCAAAGGCACATTGGCAGTTTGTACCTTACCTATTGATATAGACTCTTCCAACAGCTCAATGCTTCACACACATTTTCATTGTGTCTCTTAACCACTTCCTGCCGGGGACTCGGGGATTGGAGACGTATGGTTTATATGGGTGGCCGGGGTCTCCGAACTCGGACAAAAGAAACAGGGCCCTGTAACAAAAGACCGTACTCTNATAATCCAGCCTTGTTTTGAAACCGTATATCAGGGTTTGGGGTGTTGAGAGCAAGCGGATTACCACCGGGGACAAAAGCGCTCCACCACCGCAGCGATGAGCCACACAGCACTGCTGCATGCTAATCTGGCCCCTATTGAAAAGAGGTCAGCAGTGCACTAAGCCAGGTTCGTGAACAAAAGACATTTATACAACACCGCACAATCTGGGCTCTGTTTACAAAGCTGCTGGTCTGGCTGAAATACTTGGGTGTCAATGAAGGTCACCTGTCAACTTAGAGTAGTGCCTAAAGATTACTTGGTGTGGCTGTAAACGACCGTTAAATGAAATGATTAATTTTTGAAGGATTTTGAAAACGGAAAAATGATAGTCATGCCGGCCCAGCATCATCAACGTTTAAAGATGCCCCGGTATGAAGTGGTTAATGGTTGCGGTATTTGAACAAATTCGTTTTCCAAAGATCGAATGATCTTTTCCAAAGATCAAATGATCTTTGGAAAAATATAAAAATTTTCTTTTCTTGAAAATGACAGCGTTCCAGGCAGTAAGATTTTACAGATTGTTTGACACTATTATGTATTTACTTTACACTGAGATGTTTCAAGACATTTGACAGTCTCGTTTTTGAGATATTACAAATCCTTTACACAGCCTTTTAGTGTGGTGCACCTTGATTGTTAAAGTACTGTTCACCTCCTGTGTACTGGGAAATATGGAACAAATTAGGAAGTTTTTTTGGCAATGATGACTGAGGAGGTTGAAAGACTCGTGCAGTGGAGCCTCTTTTTTCTTTTGCCACAGACGTTGCCAGATTCTACAAAATGAGGCTTAACCACATGCTCCCATGTGCTTTTAAAAATGCAGTGCACACATACGGGGGATTTTTGAGATTTTCAGTTTTTGAAACTCTTCAAAAATTCATTTCATTTAATAGACGTTTACACCCACACAAATGACTGTTTGGTGGCTAGTCTCAGCTTACAGGTACCCTTCATTGACTCCTGGGTATGTCAGCCAGGCATGTCACCCTTTAAAGAAAGCCCAGAATTGTGAGGTGTTGTGTAATTTCCTTTGTCCCCAGTGAATGCGAGTGGCGTCTTTTCAAACGCGGCTGGATTAGCATGCAGCGGTGTTGTGTCGCTCATCAATGGGGCCCTAGAGCACTTTTGTCCGCAGTGCTAATCTGCAGGCTCGCTATGCACAAAACAATAGTATACTGTTAAACCCCTTCACAGCAGGATTCTTTTGACCACGACTGCTGGGCTGTGGTATGCCATGAGTGGAGGGCATTGTCCAGCAGCAGGCCCCATTGAACCAGCAGCTGCATGGTGAATAGACTGTATGTATGGTATGCACTAATCCTCACACAAAGGTGCTTTAGTAGCAGTCCTCCCTATTGAAGGGGTTAAAAACAGTGACAAATTACCTTCGAAAAATGCAAGCCAAAAAATGATGGCATTTCCCAGCAGCAGGTCTTTTATTCCGAGTACGGTCTTTTGTTACACGGACCATCTCTTCTGTCCCATTTCAGGCACCCCAGCTGAGCGTATAAACCCAAGGTGCTCGAAACGGGATTCCCCAACAGCAAGTGGTTGATGCGCTTGTTACTCTAGTAATTTTGTTGTAGTTTACATTATGGAGAGCACACTAAGCTCTCTGTTTTGATGTATCACTTGGTTTGGTAGCATGGTGAGCTGGTAGACATTAGGTTTGTTACAAGTGTTGAGGGTTCCTAGAGTGCAAGATTCTAAGGGGCCTTTTACTTAAAAATGGCTCTGGTGACTTGCAAGTCATTTTGTTAGATTTGGTCACAACGGGCAAGATAACTGCATAAACTGCAACAGAGCTTATGGGAAAAAAAGATGAATTTGATGAGAAATTGGCACCAAGATGTGTACAGCAGTGTTAGTCTGCTAGAAACGTCAATAGAGGTTATGCATTAACGTGTCCTCATAGGGCAAGAGCTTTGTATCTCTGGGATAGGCTTGGATAAACCTTTTGTGAATTCGTTGTGAACTATGTCAAAATAACAAAAACAGCCTCAGAGACACCATGGAGACACCAGCAATGCGTAACCTAACCTGAATAGAAATCAGTAGTAGAAATATTTTCATTTTCTTAACTCTAAGACACTTCAAATGTAACCAATAACTGTCTTTTCATTTGTCTGTAGACGTACCTGCTGGCTAGTTGCACGGCTGATCGCAATATTGTACTTTACGACATGCGAGGGTCGACACCCTTAAGGAAACTCCTACTGAACATGCGCAGCAACACGATAGCCTGGAACCCCATGGAGGCGTTCATATTTACAGCAGCCAACGAAGATTACAAGTGAGTGGCAGTTTGGCAAATCACTAAGCACCAAAAATGTTTGCTTCGCACAAATGGTATACTATCCTAACATGCAAGTAATGCATAGTGCCTCTGACTTGTACTCGGCTGTTTTTGTGCATAACACACAAATTTGGAAAGCATTAATTTTCACCAACCATGGCCCCATTCCATTGCACTTCCAACAGCTGATATTCTGCTAACAGAGCCCCTGTGTATTTCCGGCCCATCTCACCACCAGGGGGTTTCCCCCGAGAACTTAGCTGTAGCAAGCCTGATCTTGTTTCAATTTTGCATGCATCTAAAAAGACTCCTCATGAGTACATCTGTGAAGTCTCAATTTACTCCAATACGTAGTTTTATTGATATGGTCATTTTAAGTTGATGGCCTCACATTTATTGGCCCATTTGCAGTTGGTACTTTACCATAAAACGTATAGATTTTTGGCTGACCTGTCTCGAAAATCCTTGGGAAATGGGCATTCCGCAAGGACTGTATGTCTGATTTTCACAAAATTGGTGTCTAAACGACTGCAAGACTTCACTGGAAAGCTCCTTAAGGCTCAGTGTCAATAAAATGCCCCGCGATGATATCGAAGGAAATCTGCTCTTAAAGGGTTATCACTGCAGCAGCATTATTACATTCTATTTTAACCTCTGTTGCATGTGCTGGCTTCTTTTATCATACTTTTTGTAATTGATCTAATTTTCTTTTTTCTTTTTTTTTTTAGCCTTTATACATTTGACATTCGGAAACTAGACATTGCACTCAACGTTCACATGGACCATGTATCAGCTGTCATGGATGTAGACTACTCACCAACGGGGAAAGAGTTTGTGAGTGGGAGCTTTGATAAGTCAATCCGGATCTTCCCTGTGGATAGAGGACACAGCAGGTAGCGTCATTAGGAGAGGGAGAAGTGGAAAAGAGTATTTTTTTAGGAGGATGAGGGGATTCAGTGCATTGCCAGCCAGCCAGCCAATTTTTGGAAGCAAACAGTTTCCATAAAATTATGTTGTAATTGAGCAAATCTTAGCAAGTGGTGGTCTGAAGGTTTCAAATCTTACCCAAAGGATCTAAAAGGTTTTCTTTCTTTCCTAATTTTCCCAGAAATCTTCAAAAATTGGGGAGAAAAAATCAGCCATTACGACAGCAAAAAGTGCAGATTTTATTTGGTAGTTCCTAATTATCAATTTGAATTTTTGTTTGAATTTGACAGTAGATTTTCATTATTCTGAGGCATATTTCCCTAGATCAGAAACCACGTAAAGACAGATTCAGAAAGCTTATTTATAGTTTTTGTAGAAAAATTTAAATGTGATTATTTTATGCAGTCTTCTTCGTTTAGTTCTTTTTTTTTTCAACGATTTTTTGTACCATCTGCTGGGGGCAGCAATTTTGGACAATCTTACATTGGACATGTATTCTGATTCAAGGTAATTTTTGTTCTATCTTTTATTTGGTACAGGGAAATCTACCACACAAAGCGAATGCAGCATGTGACGTGTGTTCGGTGGAGTTTAGACAGCAAATACATCCTTTCTGGCTCTGATGAGACCAATATCAGAATCTGGAAAGCCAACGCATCAGAAAAGTTGGGAAAGGTAGAAGAAAAGTGGTCAGGAGAAATTTGACATAAATCGCTGAGGCATGGGTGTATGGTCTTAGGGGTGCAACAAGGGTGAAATTTCAGAGGGAACACCTGGAGAGGGAACACATATTTCAAGGGGGCACTAAAGGCAAATGGACTGTAACTTGTATACAGGTTGTGTACATTTCAAAATTTCAAGGGAAGCACCGACTTCTATCCCTCATGTAAATTCCACCGGAGTCTTGCTGTGGTCATTTTGTGGTTAATGCCAAAGTTGCTGTGTTCAGGGAGCAGCCTTTTGATGAGGAAGTTATTTTAGAATTGTGCCATTCCAAACTATGAACGAATAATTTCTGGTTTTTCTTTGTTTTGTCTTGCTTTGCTTCACTCGCACAGCTGCAAAAGAGAGAGGTTGCAGCTGACCAGTACAATGCCAAGCTGAAGGAGAAATTCCAGCACCACCCGCAGCTGAAGCGCATCCGCAGGCACCGTCACATCCCCAGGGCGATCTATCAGGAGGCCAAGACCATCAAAGTGCAGAGGGAGTCCATCAGGAGGAAGTACGTTGAGGGGTGGTGGAGGGGGTGGCAGATGAGGAGGGGGTAGGGGTGGAAAGGGGGCGTTGGTTGGTCTGTCCATTGGTCTAAGAGCCATATGGGCTGCCATGACAGTTCTTGTGGCAGGTGCAAGGCCAGCGTCCAAACAACTTCTTGCTGGGAAAATGTGAGCAGAACTCGAGACCTGTTTCAGTGTTGAATTTGGTAACCTCGAGAAACAACGCACAGCCAAAGGATGCCCTTAATTCGGTAAAATACACATTTTTCACCATCAGATGGCTGGTTTATGGCCAGCCCTTTCTGCTCTGACGAGTCTTTGTTGAATGCCATTTGTTTTCACTTTTTCAAATTTTTTTTTTTTTTTTGTAGGACCGAGAACAGACGCAGACACAGTAAGAAGGGTGCCGTGCCTTACGTCGCCGAGAGGAAGAAAAGCATAATTACAGTAGTGGAGTAGGTATCCAAAATTAGTAATTTTTGGGGTAGGGGATCTTTGAATTTTTTGAAATCTTAAAACAAACCATTCACTTGTATCCTGAGCTTACGTGATCACAAAGCTTTCTGTGGGCCATCACTGGGAAATCAGTATTCAAAAGCTGGTTCTTTTCAGCATACAAGAAGGCACAAATATAACTTCAGCAGCATGAATCGTTTACAGCACAATCTGTGGAGTTTGAGATGCGTTTAACTTTTATCAAATTTGCAGCATGTTATGTGACATCGAAAGTCACATCTGCAATTGCTTTGTGAACCAACTTTTATTCTTGGTTCAACCAAGTTGAATTTCCGACAGCAAATAGCAGGAGGCTCGTAAATAAATGACAATCAAAGTTCCACTTGTCGATTGTAATAATTATGATTGTTTTATTTTAATTAAGAAGTAGGTACGTAGCTGACGTGGCAAGTAAACAAAAGGAGGGTGGAAAAAACAGAATTGGAAATTGACATTTAATATTTAATTAGTATTCATCAACCTTGCTTGGTCACACAGTTACAAATTCCTGCACAGAATGGTACGGCCCAATTTTCAGACCATTCCATTTAGGTTTTCTTAAAGGGCACTGAGGATTAGATCAATAAGAAATAACAGGTTTAAATGTATAATTTGTTATTATAATTTAATATCACCTCATTACTTTACTCACAGAAACAACCCTCACTTTCAATGGAATATTCTGGTTTTGGAAAACTCCATTACTGTTTACAGGTACAGACAAAAGACAGATTCTTACTTGACAAATGTCAATACTTTTTATAGTAGTAAATGGAAACTACAAGCTTAATACATTCAAGTACATGTTTACAAATGTTTTTTCTTTCTAAGTAAATGGACATTCAAATGCTACGCGGAGAGAATTGCAGAAATTAGATAAAATGAAGTAACGGTACAATTCTAGGGAATGACAAATGTTGATCAAACTTACAAAACTTGGATCAGTAACTGTGTTAGTGGCTCTACCTAATAAAAACATTTCAGAAATCATGTGATGTGTTTCTCATACTTCTTTCCTTTTCTCATTGTTTTCAATTCTCAACTCAACCGTTTCTTCTTATCCATGGAAGATAAAAATGTTGCAATCAATTGCAAACAAATTAGCAACAGAAGCAGCAACAATGAAAGTGCACTCAAATTCGGCTAAATCTCCCCCACTGAAAGAGAAATTGTGTACCTTCACTTTAATAATGTAAAAAAATCAGATTTGGTTGTGCCCCGTTTGTCAGTTTTTAAAGCTTTGTTCAGTTTAATATCTGTGAATGTTTACAACCACGAGAGCTTTTCAATCACATTCAAAGAGGGGTACCACACTGTTAAAAGCCACAGGCAAAAAGTATTGCATCTTTAATGTGCATTCCCAAGTCAAATCAAACCAGCGATGGAATTCACACAAAAATCACTACTTACAAATAACACTTAAAAAAAAAACTTACTATCCTTACTAACTTGCATAGCCAGGCTAGTTCAGATGAACCCCCAAAAATCATGAACTACAGGTCACTACCATAAGCCAAACTGTGTTTCTTGAACTCGAGTCAATTATACCCAGGTTAGTAAAAGTCTCAAAATATTAAGCTTCGGGATAAAAAGGTTGATATTCAAGATTAAAAGATAATAGCAGAAAGGTTTTTCTTTAACAAAGTACAACAGACAAACCAGCAGTCCCTTTAAACATGACCATATAATGCTCATCAACTTGGTTCAACTACAATTTTGAACCACAACACATAAAGGGCTATAACCAGATAAACTGGGTTTAATACTTCAAACTAGTTAGTACAGACAGTCCAGCAGTGTACCTATTATTCTAATGCTAGCACAGAAACTAGGGTAATTGCACAACTTTCTTCTTGCTTAAAATATTTATATTTTTTTGGTCCCTTGGTATGAATAATACAGTTAGAATGGATTGCTTATGTGTGGTTTGACCTGATTGTGTCTGTAATGCATACTACACATTAGGACTCAAAAAAGTGAACTTGGTGAAAAATATGACACTGCTAACTTGAGGACAATGGTGCAAAAAATTAGAAACAGAAGTTTTCAAGTTAAAATGTTTTCATACTTTGAAGGGATTACGCAACGAGACTCACTTCAAGTGTTGGTTTGTTACTATGCTATACTCTGCCTTCCAAAACCAGCTGAAGGGCTTGAAGCGAAGTCCACTCACAGAAACAGGCTTTTCCACTAAAAGGTTTTTAATTCTTTGATTAAAAAAGTCCAATAAAATTCGTCAAAAAAGGGAGAAATTTAGGTGATTTGGCTCATCAACATTTGAGTTCTAGGACTGGGACAGGACTTTCACACATTCAACCACAAGCTTCCTATAAGGTGGCTGAACAACAGGTCCAAACAATTCAGAATACCACTGTGCAGATTTCTTCAGGCCCCGGTGTACACCGTATAAGCAAAACCAAAACCATACCACATTTTATCAAAGACCAGCAAAACTAACCACTGGATGTTTAACAAAATCTCACCTCTTGCAGAGTACTGTGAACATGAGAACATGAAATGCATCAGTACTGAATTACACAACTGAATTGGGGAATGCACGGGTGATGCGAGAGTCTACTGGATACAAAATCTATGGCTACAGGCTATTTTACCACACAGGAAGTTATTCTGGCAGGCCAGGCATATTATGGAACTGGATATGATGCTACCGATGTGAAGTTATCATTTGAGACTACTTAAAGCGAGGTGCTATGACTAAATGGGATAAACATTTGCCACATCGGTTGAATATTCAGTCTCAACTCATACAACAGCATATGGTTCTATTGCTACTTATTGTTTTAAAACCATTCACCAGTCATTGCATATTCTTTGCTGTTTAAATGAAAATCATTATAATTTATACATGTAAAATGTGAAAGGATTCCTTAAATACAATTACGAGCATTATTTAAAACTGTACAGTAGGTAATATTCATATAGTAAACTTTCTTCAGTAGTCAGTGAAAGATTAATAATGCAAGAACATCGCACAGTCAGAGGCCATGTATATCATAAATATTCAGAAGGTAATTACATATAATATCACATTCATGAAGTTGATACATATTCATGAACTACATGTACATTACAACAGTGTTTTTCCATTCTCGGCTATAGCAGTATTAATACACAGGAATAGCATGTACATTTTTCATTTACACATATCATGGCTTTTATATATAAAATGTTAAAATATACCTAAATGGTAAAAAGTGATAGTCTTTATTACTCTGTTATCTACTTCGCTATTCTAATATTGTGCTAATGATAATTAGCAATATCTAACTTTTCTACAATTGAAACAAGCTACCATTCTATATAGCTACATCATGGAATCATTTTTGTAGGCAACTTGGAGACCCAAAGTCTATTACCTTACACTTTGGGCACCTTTATGTATTCATAACATTTAAATAAACACGTACACAAACTAAACATCAGTATTCCTCTTTGACCCTCCCCCTTTACACTGAATGGAATCTTTCCTGCCATGGATAATACTGGATTTTTCATTTTTCTGGAGGGTAGGGTAAGTTGAAAACAAGTCAGACTAGTTTGGTGAGGGTTTGAAGATTCCACCCAGATGTAAAGGTAATAAGATGAAACAAGTGAAAAAAGAGACTGTGACACCCCACTTCAAACATGCACATTACAGTTGAATACAATATTAGAATATGTATTGCCAAGAAACTTGTATTTTTAAAATGTCCATCATGTCACACAAAACTAACACTATCATGACTGCGGAACACTTCTGACACTGGAAATATTTTTAAAATGTGATAAAAAAGAAAACCAAAAAAAAAGACAATTTATTTCTTGTGCCAACCAAACCATACCAGCTGCAAAAGGTGTACAAAAAAAGGATTGCATTTGCTTTGAAGAAAAAGTTTTACGGGGCCCCCACTTGGCCTTCAATTTCTGGTTGGGCACGGGTACATAGGAAAATGGGTGGGGCAAATGTGAAAGGGGAGAAAGAGTTTTTCTTTTTTAAATGATATGAACCATTCTAAATATCTGGGTTCCAGCTTTTCTGTGTCCCTGTCCCATCTGACAAATGATTTAGTCCTTTAAAGCACATTCTATAATTTCAAAGAGTAATTAAGTAATGCAAATTACCTGCCAAACAAACTAAATAGTCTGAAGTTAATTTCAATGTTTCAATGTCAAATTACACAGGTCAGGTGTCACAGGGACACAATGTCGAAATGTTTGAATCCTGAATTTACAGACTCATATGAATAAGTTCAGATAACTTTTGGGTAAAGAAAAGTTGATTTGCTTAGATGTGACTTCTTGTAGGTAAAAAGTGGGTTGAAACCTTTCCTGGTAGAACCTGATGAAAACAAACACCAAACTGTGGGCTCCACTTTACCCCAAAAATTCGATGTTTCTGGAGGTGGTAAGGAAGCCACATTGAGTCAGCCGGGCTACAAAATTTCATGGACAGGTGTAAGGGCATGCATCATTGAAGTATATTGCCCAAAAGAGTGCAGTAAAACTGTACATCTTTTTCAGGATAATGGACAATGATGGGATACAAGAAACACATCACGGGGGGAGGGGTTACAGCATTTTTTTGAAGCTGTTTGCAGTTTGGAATCTGCAGGGCTGAATGTTGGAATATGCAGGGCTACGGATGAAGTTAGACAGGGAGGGTAAGTGAGGGAGGGACGGGGGAAGGACAGGAACCCAATCTAGAGGACAGGAACCCAATCTGGAGGACAGGAACCCAATATGGAGAGGAACCCAATCTGGAGGACAGGAACCCAATCTGGAGGACAGGAACCCAATCTAGAGGACAGGAACCCAATCTGGAGGACAGGAACCCAATCTAGAGGACAGGAACCCAATCTGGAATTCACACATTCAGCCAATCATAAAGTTACTGAGCATGGCTCGAACACTACTGGCTACATGCACTTGTGGTCAACATTGCTTTGTACAACAAAAGCAAATCTAAGTTTAAACTAACAAAATGGAGGCAACCTTGCATGGCCGAGACCAGCTCGCATTCCAATCTCAGTATGCTACAGCAGAGATTGAAAATAAACACCAAATTGTTCAAAATTGTCTCTTCTACAGAAATACCAAAATCATTAAAAATGAATAAGTGATACATATGTTCTCTACCAATAAATGAAGTATTCCAAAGTCTACAGAAAAGTGAACATAGAAATATCCAAGAATAGATCTGGCTTTCTAGGATATGAATCAACTGAGTCATATGGATTAAACATGGAATAAATTTCTTGCTAAGAATCATGTTTATTATAAAGTACTGATAAGGAGCACAACTTTAATGGATCAAACAATCACAAAGTTTCCCCAAACAATGTAAATCAAACTCGGGTTCCAATTGGGAGGCTTTTCCAAATGAGTCACTTGTGTTCCAAAAGGAATTGCAGAGAATTGTAATGGTCACTGTAAACTACAGACAACGGGAGTGATATCTGTTTAAACTTCTTGACAACCCTTGAGCAATGACCAGTCATGGAGAAAGTGGCATTTAACCATCCAGTGAATGGCCATCAGACTCTTGATACCTGATAGTTGTGTGAATATAGCCAAACCTTCCCAAGAAATCAGCTTACAGAAGGACCTTTTCAAACATGTTAACAACTATAACTGGTTTGGATCAGGAATGTCAAATTTTAAGAACTGGTTTTTAATGTGCTGTTAAAAGTGACTTGAATGTTGTGTGCAAAGTACAAAGAAAGTTTCCAACTGAAAACTTCTGACAGCAAAAAAAGAAGTTTGCGCAGTTGGAACACTTGTTGTCAACATTAACAGTGAGTAAAACTTCAAACAAGCTGTGGCTTTGTCCAAAGGTGACTTTACATGCCGTGACTGACCATCAATAAATGAATAAATCTGAATGAATTTACATAGTTTTGGAAATACTGTGTGGAATGCAAGACATGGAACTGTGCTGATTTTAAAGCTGAAAGAACAAATTGTAACTTTTTGTTTTTCTACATAAACCTTTATGTTCGTATATATATATCTATATATGCACAATTAGCTTTGAAAGACATGAAAACAGCAAATTATTTTCCTGTACATAAAACTCAGATGTGACCAGACCATTTTTTAAACAATCTCACGTTCGCAGCCTTTCTCAAACTTTGGTGGGTAAACTTTAACGAATACTCCGAATTTCTTCACTCCACTTTTCCTCAACACACCAATGCCATACTCATAACAATAAAAAGGCAAAGACAGTGCACAATATCGTATTGCAATATTTCAAATTCTCGACTATAGTACAAGGAAATGATACAGTTTACCCTTAAATAAGTGGTATTTACTATATTAACCTTTAATTTATAATGCCTTTTGTTAAAGATCTGATTACATGTCCGACCGTGATTGGACAGTTAAAAAAAATTGAATATCATGCATAATGAATATGTATGAAACAAAGTGTTTTACTAGTTTAAATTATTTACATAATGCAATATTATCTATTCCTTTTTTTCCTACTTTCTTTCTTTGTTTCTTGGGCTGACATGCAAGCCAAACTGTTCTGCGGGATTCAACAACAGATACCAACTGTGAGAAAAAGGAGAACGTTGAAGTGGTGGCCGACATATTGCACACTTGTGCGTGAATTTGACCACTCTTTTGATGATGAAAACACTACTCCATCTTTGTGGCCTAGGGTGTTGAGTGCACCTAAGTAGGTGGCAATTTAGGGGTCTATTTCAAGGGCCACATTGACAGTAAACATTCTCCCCCAAAACCCAAACAAACAAACTATCATCACAAAACATTCATTTCGTTTTGTTCAGCCACACTTGTTGCCTTCCTTTCACGTAAAACTGGGCTCTTTAACTGAGAACTGATTAAATCAGTCTGGTGCCTGTCATGGGCCAGAGAAGCAGGCTAAGGTGTTCGCCATAAAAGACTCTACACAGTGCAGGCTTTTGGGACTTTATGTGGCCCTCAACACCCAGATATATGCTGAAGCTAGCAGACAAGCAGTCACTGGTGTGTCAAATGGGGACATCTATAGTCATCAAATTAAAGAATATAGCCATAAGCTGACATGATACATCTTCCATGAGCCACGCCTACATGAGATTCCTGTAGTAAAGGTCATTCTCCACGTACTTCAAAACTTGGCAATATTTGGTAAAGAAACAGTATGACTGTGGATCGAGTTGAGATGTTTGACACTTCATGCGCTTCATGACACATCACAGCCTACTGATAAAACACCTACATGCGCCCTCTTGTGGCAAAACTCAGCCGTCCCTTTACTGTCCGACTTTTTATGTAGACTTCAGCATTCAATTCACACATGATGGGGTTTTCTGTCTTCAATGTGAACACAAATGTGACACTAAAATGCAATGCAGGAAGTGGCTATACAAATGAAGGTGCAAAGGGCCCTGGCAGCGAACGGACGCCCTCAACTGGGTGTACGCAGAGCCAATAGGTGTCCATAACCACAGTCCAATCAACCCAATCAGCACATCAGGTAGCAAAGGTGAGTCAGCCAGTTGAAGGTGTTGTCAGATGGTGTATGATACGGAAGGAAGGGCTTGGAATAAGCTGGCCTTCCCTCTAGTGATGATGCAAATGCATTCCTTCGATAAGGGCAAATGGAAAAGGTAGAGGACACCTTGGCTTTAGGCGCCCTCTGTAGACAATTCAGACACAATTCTCCCCTAGCTAAGAACCGAATGTGTAGCAATCTAAAGCTAAACTGGGGCACTGTGGAGGACCCCTGCAATGACGACAGACAGCCCCCATGGGTCGTTGGTGGGGGAGGGGCACCGTGGGAGCTATTTGGCGCTAGCTAGAGATGTCATGGAGCCCTCTAGCGATGAGATGGAGGCCCGATGGCCATGCAGTTCCGATATGGAGGAGGTGTTGAAGAGTTTGTAGTAGCCGATGATGGGATGAGACAAGTCCAGGTCATCCAGCATGATCTGAGCCACACCCATGAAGACCTTGCGCTCCATCCGCCCATAATCTGCCCAGACAGTGATCTGAAATGGCAGTGGAAATAAAATATACCTGAAACCAATTCACCAAACTATCTTGTGATGTCCAGTCTAAAAACATGAGTCGCATGTTGCCAGAGCCACTTTTGAGTTAAAGGCCTTTACAAGAACCCTGCACAATGTTAATCAGTGGCAACCTTCAACTTTTTTATGCCAAACTGACTGATACATCAAAACAAAGAGCTGTTTTTCCTCATTCTGATGCAAACTTAAACAAATTTAATGAGAAAGAAAATGGCCTTAAGGCTAAATTTGTGGACTCCAATCTCACCTTTTGCTCAGAACATCAATCTACGAACAACCGGTCTGGACCTATTATTTTCTGGTATTTTTGTCTACTTTTTTCTTGGATTTTGGACTGTATAAGTTTTACTTGTACAGTAACTCAACTACCAAAATGTTACTTTGATAGAGTTCCCAGTTCCTCTGCAACCCATAAATACACACCACAAGTGATTTTGCAAAGGTTTTCTCTGGCTAAGTAGAGATGAGAGCCACAGATAGAGATGCTCCCATACTTGGCTAACATCCATCCCCCTTTTTTTACCTGGAGTATCTTGTTGCGATAGTCCTCCTCAAACAGTAGCACCTGTTGGTAGAGGGGATTCAGGGTCTTGCGGGCAATCTTGGTTTTCTTCTTACCCACACAGCGCTTGCCGTCCATCAGATACACCTTGACATAGGGCGCTGAAGGACAAAGGGAGGGAGGACCATGACAGACAGGGTGATGGAGTGTCATTTGACAAGATAGTGATGAGAAGACATTTCACGTTAATAGTTTGTACGAAAACTCTTTACACTGAGCAGCATTCAAGTTACTCTCAGGTGCAAGGACACAGCACAAACATCATGAGCAAAAGAGTGAACCCTTGAAAAAAATTCAAAGCAAAAAGGGGGTCCCATTGTTTTGAGGCAAAGTGTCTGGCAGTATCTGTCATTCACAGGCACTGACATGTTGTCATTATCCCTCTCACCGGGCTCACAACATGTGAATATCACTGAGACCATTCCAGCTCCCTGGGGAATATATCAGCCAGGTGGAACCATTTCATGTGCCAACAGCTAAGACACAGTAACCCTCTGTCCTCACAAGTACCCCTTTACAGTCCTGGGTGGCAAGAGAGGCACATACGGGTGAAGTGACTTGCCAGAGATCACAACATGTAACCACCTGCTAGGATTTGAACATCCGACCCTCTGATCAGAGGCTACACCCTCACCCACTGGGCCACACGTCCCCTGTAACATACATGGCAATATGAAATTAAGGGGCCAATTTCATACAACTACTAAGGACAGATATTCATCAAGCACAAAATATATGCTAGCTAAAAAGGTTACCGGCTACAAAGACATGCTAAGTACTCCAAATTGGTTGCCAGCTGATTTTTGCTAACATCTGCTTAGTGGTAATGTCTGTGTGCAGCTCTACGTGAACTTGAGGCTGGTAAGCTGTGTCCAATAAGTAAATATTTTCTATGTTTAGCCAATTTCTCTACTTAAGAAGCCCCATGAAAATAGTCCCTATCTGGGTGTCCAACCTGGGAAAATAATAAGCAGTTTGCAAACCAGTGCTGCAGTCCAGCCCTTTCCAAAATCTAGTCCCAAGTCCTTTCAAAAGACCAGTCACTAGTAACAGGGTGAACAGTGACAAAGGAATGCTTTTGTCACAGTTAATTTCAATGGCTTATGACTTAGCTTTAAGACTAGATGACTTGTGATGGACTTGCAGGGACATGTGATGGACTCAACTGCAACACTTGTGGATGACACACAACTCACCAGGAGGGACCTTGGAGACCGACTTCGAGATCAGCCCCCGGGCCCGGATGATCTCCACCTCCAGCTTGCCCCTCTTGTCCTCCAGGCCTACTTGGATGTCCCCCAGGCAGGGCGAGCCCAGCACCTGCCTCCCCACCAGCTGGGCAGGGCCAAGCCCCTCCAGGAAGCCGTCAAACTGGCCCTCAGGGCCCAAGCGGAAGTTGCCGGGTAGCCACAGTCTTGAGGAGGAAAAAATAGCAAGAGACAGAAAAAGTTTGATCAAACGGCCACTGGTGGTTGGTCTGTGGCATACCTGTTGCCTGTGCAGTAATATTGAAGGGCGAACATTGCTATTTAAATTACGGTCAAAATTCATCAAGATAAGTCACAATCATAGCTCCCAAATGTAACATATATACAACTGGTAAAATGGCCCCAAACGTAATCTGTAAGGCTTTATCCCAGATATAGTTGCTTAGACTAGTTAACAGAGATGGGTTTCTGCTGCTGACTGTTTCAGCTGGTGATCATAGGTTGAGCATTGTGGCAATTGGTTGTCATTGGAGAAGCATAGCCTTTGATTCTGTTCATCTTTATGATGCAAGGAATATTAGTGCTCAGATTTCATAAAATGAGTCTTAGGCAAATCCTTCTCTGCAACTTCAATCTTAGTTTGCATAAGAAAGGGTACACCGAGCTCTTTATTTGGATGTATGACAGTTTCGCAGAGGAAAAAACGTTGAAGGTTCCTATCATTTTATATTGTGCCAGATTCTTTCATAAGCCTTTAACTCAAAGGGGCTCTGGCAACTTGTGACAGGTTTGGTTCGACTGGGTCATATTTTTGAGTTTCCTGTGAGCCAAAGCATGCCCTAACTTGTGGCTCAACTTTAGATTGGAAAACTTGTAACTGATTAACTTGAGAACCTAACAACCTTGATGAGAAGTCCATGGGTAGATCAATACTGTGAAAGCTTGTAACTACTCACTGGCTTGAGCTGTCACTGCTAAAACTGCAGACACTGCCGTCCGTGCTCTCTCGGCTGGCTTGCTTCTGTAGACGATTCCTCATCTCAGCAGCTAGACCGACCTCTTCACTACGTACTATACTGCTCCTTGGCTTCTTGCCTGTAAGATGAAAAGAGTTGTTGGGAGATAAAAGAAATCCAATGAACATTACTCAACATGTTCAGCAAATTTAGCGGATTTAAACTTGACAGAGCGAGCATTTAACTTTAAAGAATACTAACTGCACAAGGGTGAACAAAATTTTAGCATTATTTCTTTAAAATTGAGTCCAGCACAGCTGCGCAAGGTTGAGCTGAGTCTTGCAAAGCTGAGTGAAGTGGAGCTGAGCAAAGCTGAGTTGCACTAAACCAAGCCATGCTAAGCAATGCTGTGAGTGGGGCCTGGGCAAACTGAGTCTAGCCAAGCTAAGCAAAGAGATGCCAGAGGAGAGAAGCTGTACCTAGACAAAATAGCACTGCAAGAGCCCAATCAAGTTGAGTAAGGCTGAACAAAGTCAAGCTCAGCCAAGCCATAGCAAGCCCATTTCAGCTGAGTCAATCTGAACTGAGACAAGTCATGCCAAGCTGAGCCTGTAAAATAAAGCCCAGTCGAGCCACACTCTGAGGAACCAAGCCTGACCAAGCCAAGCCAAACAAAACTTTGCCAAGCCAAGCTGAACCAGGCCAGGTATAGCCCAAATCCTAACCTAGCCTAGTATCACAGCCAACCAGCAACACAACAGTCTTGTTCAAACGCGACCAACACCCTACCTGCCAAATTGGACGTGCTGTTACTCTTCTTGGACAGACCCACAAGTGACGCCATCTTGTACCCGATGCTTGCTCGACGTTTCTTGCCCTCTTGGATGTTTGTGTCAGCTGCCGAATCTGATATACTGCCCTCGTTCCGATCATACGTGTACATATCAGCACTACTGTTGCTTCGATTCAGTGGTTTCTTCACGGGAGCAGACTCTTGCATTTTCGCGGTAAAGGCACTGTGGAGAAGAAAACAAAGGATTTACGAAATGTGTCATAATGATTTACATAATGTTGGAGAGCGCTGAATTTGCATTATGGGAGTCGTAGTGTTGTGTGGGAGTGATTTCCAAGAACTCTCAATACCAACAGTATTTAAAATTCAGCACGACCTCATGTTTTTTAATTCAGTGTGTTTCAATTTTATGATTCCATGTCCTTGCATACTTTCATGTGCTGCTGGTATGGTTTGTCAAAAATATCTGTGAGTGACAGTCTTCCTTGATGTAGGTATAATCCAGACAGGCCTTTCTACATAACAGCCACATATTTATTTTCTGTTAATTTCTAATTTTAAACTCATGCATGTTTAAAATATGGTATGAGGTACACTGTACCAGTAGACAGCCCGACAAAAAAAAATGGTACATGTACATGTATCTGTAACAGGATTTACATTTTGTGATTTGCATGTGCGTAGACACTAAGGCATCGGGGGCTGTGAGTAGCAATCAAATGATGTGTCAATTGATCGAAACAGCGAGACTGTTGCTATCGGGTACATGATATCACAATACAAAAATCTGTGTCACAATTACTTGGCTATGGAAAGCTCTGACAAAAGAACAGACTACTGAGTCTTGAAATTATGAACAAAAATTGGCCACTTAAAAAAAACCAGATACTTCTGAAATGGATGGTGACATCACATTAAAAGCACTGTTGTCACTTTCAAAGAAATGTAACCACTAGTAAATAAAAACCCCAAAGCAGGTGCCCCGCAGGTGGGTAATGCAGAAATGTTGTACGCCTGCTATAGATTTCTTGTCATAAATTATGCACATTTCAGTATACTGTCACTAGTGTTGTAGTCGAGATCCCTTGAGATGATCACAAGACCAACACAAGACTTTAAGTCTACAAAATTCAAGAAAAACGCCATTCAAATGAACTGTAACAAAGGCATTTTAGTCAGTGTTCAACCTGTTACTAGTGACTGGTCTTGAGACTGGTCTTGTAACTGATCTTATGCTGGCCTTATGTCTGGTCTTATGACTAATCTTCATCTGGTCATGTGACTGGTCTTGTAACTGATCTTATGCCTGGCCTTACATCTGGTCTTATAACTTACTTCATCTGGCCTTGAGACTGGTCTTGTATTTGGTCTTGCTTAAAATACTGCCAATAATACAAATTTATATTTCAAACCAGTGGCACTGTCCCATCCCCACAGAAAGAACTGGAAAATGGGCAAGTGTAGGTGACCCGACCATTCCTTTCTGAATTCCAGTGACAAGTTTATATCCAGGGTTAGTTTGGTCGACTGACATGTGCCGATCACTTCAAACATGCTCTGAGAGAGAAAAGTCAAAGCCACACTGTGCTTTAAATAAACCAATGCTAATTACCATAACATATTGAAAATTGAAATTTGTATCAGTTATGCAGGGCCAAGGTTATGCTTAGAAATTGGAATGTGGACATTTAAATTTTTATTGAAGAGTTTAATTCCCACACACTTTTCTAATTCGAGTAATAATCAGTTTGCAATTTGCATTACTTTACTTTCATGAAAATAATTGGCCATGCATCCTTCAAACAAATCCTAAATTTAACAACCAGAGTAAGAGGAATAAAATGGACAAGGCAACAACTAAAAGGAAACATCTGATTATAAAGTACAAGCACCCAAGTCTAAACACACACAAATATGCGCCTGAAAATGCAGCATTGTAAACTCTTCATCAGTTAAAAAGCCAACTGAAGAAGGTATTTGTCTCAGATTTTCATTTCAAAATTGAAGCGATTTTAACTGACAAATTTTGAGATATAACTTGTTCCATTGTTCTGGAGCCATTTATGAAAACAGTTATCTAGAAGGTAAAATAGTACTACGGTACAAAATGAAAACGATAAACACTTCATAACCACCTGTATAGAGCAAAGGTTGGTATGTTTTCCTTGGAACACTGGATATGAAGTACCCATTCCCTATAGCCGTATGTTTGAAAGGTTTTGAAACTTGAACAATACAGATACAACAATGAGTAATTTTGGGCCTGTTTGTTTCATGTGGATCCAGATTGCAATCAGTGATCCCAAGTTACCAGTACTTTACTAGAACCAGATCTTACCTCATAGTTGGAGTGAAACAGCAATGCCAGCAATGGGATCATTAAGCAAGATCCTGATCCATGTCAAACTAACAGGCCCTTCAAGTCACATTACTAGCTGTCTACATCATGAGCTTTAGCTTGTATAAACTCCACCAAAGGTAAGGTCATGACAAAAACAGTGAGTTCAGCTTTTACAGTTACAGGAACAAAAACAAACCACAATTTAACTTACCATTTTTCTCTCACACATGGTTGATCAGATACCCACTAAATGTCAACTCAACAAGAGCACAGGCTTTTCAAAATGCACCCCTAATGTTGTCTAATCCTTCAAGTCTACAGAACGCTATCACATCTATCCACTGCTCCCACATGTGCCATTGTCACAGTTTGTATCAAGGTAGACACTGCCAATAAACCTGACAAGTCGTATGTCACATCACAACCCCCCAAACTTATGAAACAGAACCGCTGCGCACGGGCTAAGGCTGGAGTTAACATACAGAATTCCCAACTACTCAACATAAATGAGGCAAAAAACGTTGTACATGTATGTACGTGTACATGCACAAACACAGGTTTGCTTTTTTAAAACAGAAACCAATGTGGGAACTGGAATATTAAAAAGGTCCATTTACATAAAGCACATAGCGTTAATGGATAGCAGTGGGTAATTTACTGGCAGTGCATTTTTGCTGGTAGATGACAAAGCCATTACTATTTGGACTGTACCAGTTTACCAAATAAGAAATTGAAAGATAGGAATTTTATTTATTTCCCCCAAGCTCTGCTTACATGTATTAACAAAGCATCTACAAGTACATTATTTACAGCAACTCTATGCTGATTTGTTATCCACATTTCATTGACAACATTTTATAAGCTTAAGATTCCTTAAATCTATAACGTAACTACCCAATCATCTATCTACGTCATTACTTACATCTCTTCACGTCTCACCGTTCATTCACATTTGCCTTTTCAGCTCTCCTGGTTTCTACTTCCTGAGACGAAACCATTTGTCAGCATCATGAGATACTTTCAATTGGGGCAAATCGTTCGTTGCCATTCCGAGCGGTGACGCAGGTTCGCTCGAATCCATGGCGTGACGTGGGCCGGTCTGGTGCACGGACTGGGACAGTCTGGTAACGGCCCCGGTGACAGACGATGGGGTCACTCTGCAAGTTTGTTTGGACACGACTGGTGATAACAAGGGCTTACCCAGAAACATGGTTTGTGAGAGCAGGGGAGGCCTTTGAGGAAGACAAGCTGCTTCTAACATGAGAACATTTACCACAGAAAGAGGATTGATGAAGACAAGAGAAAAAACAGAATTCACTGAAAAATCTTCCCCAACAAAATGAGACTTTGTATGAAAGAAGTCAATACCCTGTTTTACAACAAACTGTCACTCTTATTTGTCTTTTTGATAAAACATAAATGTGATATACTTCATGAACGTGTAGGCCTTTTTGGAATAGTGACAAAAATACTTTCCAGGTTTCATTTACACATTTTCTAAATACTTTCTGATGTGGGATTTATTCTTTTCTTTGTGTGTCCACAAAAAGTACACTGTAGTGGGAGTGGGGACAGATGACCTACACCCAAGGTTTCATTTTGTTGTGGAGCATACTTCACAGTGTACACAACTGAAGAAATTACATCCACATTCAATACAGCTGTAGTTTTTGACATGGTAAGCCTTTCACTTGATGGACAAAGAGATCTGATTTGGGCAGAATTTTTCCCACCAAACAATGCTTGTGAGATGAGATCCTTGCACAGTGACCTTCATGAATTAGCGAACAGAGGGTTTGCATGGCTGCCATTTTGGAGACAGTTTCACAGGGTAGGCACAAAGGAGATTTCCCTGTGGAACAAAATTGCCCTCCAAGATGGCTATTGTGCAAAGCCTCCATAGCCGATGAACGACTTGATGAACTAGCTGATGAAGTTATCTGACTAACCAGGTGATTGACTCACTACAGGTGCTCCTAGTGGCATCAAATCTGCCCTAGTTTAAATACTGCCTGACATTTTTTAACCAGGGACCCCTCAAACAACTGAGTCGAGACATCCTAAAACATCAAAATGAGTGCATCTTGGCCAAATACATGGCAAAAACTACAGAAGAATTTTTGAAAGATGACATTTCTGCCAATTCACAACCAAATGTCCAACTACTCTCATCTATCCAACATACACATGCATCCCGGCATTAAAAGACACAAATAGCCATGAAACATTAATGAAATTATGAAAGAGCTGATGATGCATGAAGCATGCAATGACGAAAGACTTTGAAAAATAAACAAACATGGCAATGCAATGAGATTTTCATTATACATGTCACAAGTACAAAAATGGAATGGTCTACATGTTTGTAAGAAATGGAGACACTAGTATGACCTTCAGCACCCTCGAGAGGAAATACGAAGAAATAAAAACCAAAACCAAAAACCTCTACCAATGGTTAATTTGCATATACTCAAAAATAAGCTCCGAATGTAATCAATACTAAAAGAGGAGAGGAGGTAAAAAGCAAAGACATTGGTGTAGTAGGAATGGAATTTGGGCACAACCCCTGTTAGCACCAAAGATCATATAGCACCGAAGGCGCAAGATGGATAACTCTGTCCAAAGGGTGTAATTACCATGGGCGCCATATGAGCAAACGATACGACCTGCGCAGTTTAGGGTAATGCTTAGGCGCAGGCTCACCGGGTGCACGTGCCTGCTGCGGCGCCTGCGCCTTTGCATTCATATGCATTGTGCAGACGTATCGCTTGCTCAAATGGCGCCCATGCGATAACAAGTTCGGCATCTTGCGCCGCTATGCGGCGCTGTACGACCTTTGGTGAGCATGACAGTACAGGAAGCCTCCTAAACTAATTTCTATCACAGTCCTGGTATATGTTTTTTCCATTATGAAAACACCACCTTGAACACTTTAGACTGTAACCTGGAGAAATTCTGTGCAAATCTACTATTTTCCAAGCTAAAAGTTCCATATATGTTTTGTTGGCAGTAAGCTGGAACATCAATACACATACATGTACATGTGGGAAAAAAAGGAATTAAATACAAAAAAGCATACCTGCGACTATGCCTATGAACGTGAATATTTGTACTGCACCCAGACAGGTGAATTTTCAAGAGGAAAAGAAAAGTATCAACACTGAACCCTAAGTAAAAATGTTGTAAATCGCTGTGCATGTTCATGTACTTGTTTGGTGCCTATACTATACCGCTACCCATGCAGCTTCACAATTTTGCACGATCATGCCACAAACGGGAGCTTTTACATGAAAGAGGTGTACACAACAGAAGGGACAAAGCTGGGACAAAGAGGGCTACAGAGGGGGGAAGGGGGTCAACATCTCTGAGATTCTCATGATGATGACCACCACAGGGTGTGTTCAAGAGAGGGGTGGTGCTCTCCACCCATCAATGCCCTTCTCTAGTTCAACTGTTGCTTCCATACTCCGAAAAGCCATTTTCAGCATTGCTGACCTTCTGTGCAGAGTCGACTTGCACATCAACGTGCACATCAGTGTGCACTGGGTCAGTGGTTGCATTTGCCTGAGTTCTTAGAGTAGAAGGGGTTGTTGTCTGGCTGATCAGAGTGGAGGAAGGTTGTTGTCTGGCCGATCAGAGTGGAGGAAGGTTGTTGTGTGGCCGATCAGAGTGGAGGAAGGTTGTTGTCTGGCTGATCAGAGCGGAGGAAGGTTGTTGTCTGGCTGATCAGAGTGGAGGAAGGTTGTTGTCTGGCTGATCAGAGCGGAGGAAGGTTGTTGTCTGGCTGATCAGAGTGGAGGAAGGTTGTTGTGTGGCCGATCAGAGTACCGGTACAGGGATATAGTTGTTGAGACAGATCTGCAGTCCTCTGATTCTCAGTGTAACAATCCAATGTTAACACACATCTATTAATGTACATGTATGGCATACAATTCAATTCTATCTTTAAAAAAGATCCATTTTCCTTAAGCTACTAAAATGTGTAAATTTACAGCTTCATGCCATACAAAAATGTTGGCACATGCTGGTAGCACACACAGCGATAACATGTACATGTACATGTATCTCACAGTTACCAACTGACAATTATGCACGTACCTCACCACAGCATCAGCTTGACTTAAAAATATGTACACTGAAATGTTTCAATTACTGATCAGCCGAGCTAGGTCTGTGTTAGCTGATAATCTGGCAATAAAATTGGTATGAGAGTGTGACGAGAGTATCTTGAATCAACTTTCATCAAGCTTCAACATTATTTTGTTAAGCACTGACATCTGTCTGATAAGTTTTACTCAAACGCTAGGCATCTGCTACATGAATCAAATACTTTACAGTATCGATGCAAATTATTGATACCTTTTTATTTTACTCTAACAAAATTTGAACAATGCCCTTCTGAAGCAATGCTACCATAGGCGTATAAATATAAAAGTCCACAATAGATTTGCGAGTAGACCTATGGAAATTTAGGGTAAATTATTCACTTGGGGGTAATTTTATTGGCATTATTATTTATCATTATTCATTTTAGGGTCTTTTGTCCACAAATGAGGAGAAGACTTATTTGAAATTGTCATCACATGAACAACTACCAGTATTGCCGGTTTCAGTTGGAAAACTCATTTTCATAAATTTGAATATGATTACACCTTAGCCTGAGCCAGCCACATTCATGCCTCTCATCCCTGTAGCCCATAAAATCTTTGGTAGTTACAGGCTACTCGCACAAGGGCCCTGCTTCAGCATGGACTTCCCACAGTGCACCTGGGCTCCAAGACACTGTGTGAGCAAATTCATTAAATGCCTGTAACTGGCAGCTGCCATAACAAAGCTGTTTGATAAAACCTGGCAGGCATCGTTAAAAAACCAAGTGAAGCACCCTGTATGAATTAACACAAACTATCTGTGTACTCCCCCCCCTCCCATCATACCAGCACAGCCAATACTTTGGCTAAAGTAATGTTGATCCCAGTCCATTTGATAAACTGTGGCACTTAATAAAGATAGAGACTACGGACTGCAATATTTCATGCATCTAAAGATAAATGATGGTACAGCTGGTCACATTAACAGATTTAAAAGATAACATTTATCCCCTTGCCATGAAGTCTGTATATTGTAAATTTAACGTCTTTCACTTTACTTTAAACAAAAAAAAAAACCAACTATCCAAGAGAGAAATACATGTACCGGTACATGTACTTTAAAGATACAGGTAAAAAAAAAAATTTAAAGATACAGGTAAAAAAAAAAATTATCGGTGGACGCGCCTCTGTTACAACTGTTCCTGTCAAATTTAGTTATCTACCGGCATTATGTCCAAAAAATATGAAATTGTTATAGCACTGCCTACTGAGATTTCATCCTGCTTCCCCATTAGAAAAAAAAATTAATAGGTTGGAATTTTTGTCTGACTCTA